GTAGAAGCATTAAACAGGCTCCCTCTTAGCCACACGGCGGAGTTTCCATGGAAAGGAGAGCTCACTGGGTCGAGGATTTGCTCACCCTCGCTGCCTGACACAGCCACCCAGCTGCAGGCAGTGAGAGTGAACCCAGCTTGCCAGCCACTCCAATGGAAACTGATTTTTACACAAGAGGAATAAATCCTGCTGGCAAATTGCAGTGCTGTCCTGATGCTCTGGGCTTCTGTGATTATAATGAGGTTCTGGGGAGCAGCGGGAGGGAGGGGGCTGAGGCCTGGCTCTGCCACTGTCCAGATCCTCTCACTGCCAGGCAGCCTGGGAGCTTTGTGTCTGGAGCAGGAGAGAGGGCCTTCAGCTGCCAGCCACACACTCACCCAGGCGCCAGTCTCCTACAGACAGGCCTGCATCTGCCCAGCAAGAGGCTGGCGCTGGAGGCCTGGGCTGTGGCCGGGGTCAAATGGATGGGGAGCCAGGCCTGGGCCTTCCTGCCTGGATTTCCTGCCTCCTCAGTGGCCTCACTGCTGCCTCTCCTTCCCCTGGCAATCTGTGCTTCCCACAATGGCCAGAGCGAGCTCTGAAAAATGCAAGTCAGTGATGGAAAAATTTGGGAACAGATAAGGGTGATGGTTGAGCAACATGATAAACATAAGTTAGTGTCACTGAACTGTACATGTGAAGAATACTTGTTGAATTGTGACCCCCCAAAATGTGTGTCAACTTGGCTAGTCCATGATTCCCAGTATTGTGTTATTGTACATCATTTTGTGATCTGATGTGATTTTCCTATGTGTTGTAAATCCTAACCTCTATGATGTTCATGAGGCAGGATTAGAGGCAGTTATGTTAATGAGACAGGACTCAATCTACAGGATTAGGTTGTATCTTGAGTCATTCACTTTTGAGATATAAAAGAGAGAATCGAGCAGAGAGGAGAGGAACCTTATACCACCAAGAAAGAAGAATCGGGAGCAGACCATGTCCTTTGGACCTGGGGTCCTTGTGCTGAGAAGCTCCTAGACCAGGAGAAGGTTGATGACAAGGACCTTCCCCCAGAGTGGATAGTGAGAGAAAGCCTTCCCCTCGGGCTGGCACACTGAATCTAGACTTCTAGGCTCCTAAACAGTAAGAGAATAAATTTCTGTTTGTTAAAGCGATCCACATATGGTATTTCTTTTATAGCAGCACTAGATAACGAAGACAGAATTTGGTACCGGGAGTGGGGTGCTGCTCTAACAGATACCTAAAATGTGGAAGCAGTTTTGAAACTGTGAATGGGTAGAGGCTGGAAGAGTTTCAAAGTGCCTAATAGTAAACTCCTAGATTGCCTTGAAGAGACTGTTGTGGATTATGGACATCAAAGACAATTCTCGTGAAGGCTCAGAAGGAAATGAGCAGAGCTGTAACACCAGAGACAGCACAGACAGCAAGCAGCAGCAAAGAAATGGCAGCAGCAGAACCAGGAAGCCAACCCACAGAGCAAGAGAGCCGACTGCCTTTGCACAGAAGGCTTACTGGTGGAGCATGGTGCCTCCGGGCACTTGTCGGTATTGCTGAAGAGCTTTGTAACACTTGTCCAAGCAGGGGAGAGGCCAGGCTGGACTAAGAGGCCCAAGGGGCCGAGAGGACAAGAAACCAGGAAGCAGAAGCTAAATAGACAAGGAGCACAGGAAGCAGCGCTGTCTCAGTCTCAAAAGGGTGGGGCCATAACTTCTGGGGTCTCGGAGGGTGGAACCACAGCCTGCTGGGTCTCAAAGGGTGGGGTCACAGCCTCCTAGGTTTCAAACAGTCAGATCTTCACTAACTCAGTTCTGGAGTGTGAGGCTGCCATTCACAAGTGCCAAGAGGATGGAGCCGGATCTGCTGCCCAAAGCTGAGGCTATGGGTCTGCCATGCCCAAGGGGCAGAAGAACGGGGCCTGCGGGGGCCGAGGGACTAGAGTCGCCACTCAGATGAACTAGCAGAGTGGGGCTGCCGAAATCCAAAGGAGCAGTGTTGCCATCCCAGTGGGCCTGGAAGGCAGAGCTGAAGCCAGGGCCCAGGGGCCTACACCCAGAATCCAGAGAGTGTGGCCAACACTCAGAGTTTGGAGGGCAGAGCCATTACCTAAATGGTCTCAGAGAACAGAGGATTATTTTCAAGCCTTGAGAGCTAATGTAATGTGTTCTGCTGACTTACTTGGTACCTGTTACCCCTTCTTTCCCTCCAGTTTCTCCCATTTATAATGGAAATGCCTACTTTGTGCCTGTTCCACCATTGTACTTTGGAAGCAGATAACTTGTATTCCAGAATTCATGGATGAAGAAAAATTTTGCCGCAGAATGGAACTTGGATTTGGAGTTGATTTAAGACGTTTGGGATGATGTGATGGGTGAATGTGTTTTACATGTGGCAAGGACATGAATTTTGGGGGGCCAAAGGGATGTTGAAACAGGAAATGTTTTGTTACACGTATATTCATTGGGATTAGAGGTAGTTATGTTAATGAGGCAAGACTCAATCTACAAGATTAGATTGTGTCTTAAATCAATCTCTTTTGAGATATAAAAGAGAGAAGCAAGCAGAGAGACGGGGGACCTCATACCACCAAGAAACAAGAGCCAGGAGAATAGCACATCCTTTGGACCTGGGGTCTCTGCGCTGAAAAGCTCCTCCACTGGGGAAGATTGATGATAAGGACCTTCCCCCAGAGCCAATAGAGAGTGAAAGCCTTCCCCTGGTGCTGGCACCGGCACCCTGAATTTGGACTTCTAGCCTCCTAGACTGTGAAAGAATAAATTTCTCTTTGTGAAAGCTATCCCCCTGTGGTATTTCTGTTATAGCAGCGCTACATGACTAAGACAATTCACCACAATTTTTTTTTAAAAAACAGTTAAAAATGCAAATCATATTACTTCTCTGCTTAAAACCCTTCAAGATTTCCCATCTACCTCAGAATAAAACACAAACTCCCTGTCAGTGCTGTAGTGCCCTCTGGACCTGGCTGCTCTCTCTCCTTTCCCACATCTTTCAAGGCAGACCAGACCGTGAGCTCTGTGAGGCTGAGACCAGGCAGTCTGTGACTGCAGGACCCCCAGCACTGGGCTGTTCTTGGGACCTAGTCGGTGTTCAGTGTACTAGTTTCTGGGATTGCTGTAACAAGTTACCACAAAGTGGGTGGCTTCAAACAACAGAAATTTATTGTCTCACAGTTCTGGAGGTTAGGGCCATCTCCCGAAGGCTCCAGGAGAAGATCCTTCCTAGCTTCTGATGGTTCCTGGCAATCCTTGGCATTTATTGATTTGTGGCAGCATAACTCCAATCTCTGCCTCCGTCTTCACATGGCCATCTTCCCTCTGTGTCCCTTCTCCTCGTCTTACAAGGACACCAGTCATATTGGATTAGGGCCCACCATGCTCTAGTATGACCTCATGTTAACTAATTACATCTACAAGGAGGCTATTTCGAATTAAGGCCACAGTCACAGGTATTAGAGATTAGGACTTGAACTTAACACTCAGTAAACACTCTGGAATGAGCCTCAGTTTCCCCCTCTGTAAAATGGGGTGATATTAGTACCTATCCCACAAAGCTGGCACACTCAGTGCATAATGAATATTTAGCGCGCGCAAGCACGGTGACTTGGATTCGTGTTCCTAGAGGGAACGCCCCTCTCACCACCCTCCTCTGGGCAGTGCAAGGTCAGTTACCCACTCAACTGTGAGGGGGTGGAATATTAGTTAAGGAGGCAGAACCCAGCCTTTGTGGGCTAAGTGTTCAGGTGTTGGACTTGTCCACTCCCTTGTCCACCTGGAAGACAGGGACTGTGTTAAATGCAGACACTCCAGTGGAAATAACTTCTGACCACAGGAGTCTCAAAGGACCGCGTGGGCAGATGGGGAAACTGAGGCACTGGGTGCCAGACAGCTTGTCCACAGGGCCCGTGAAGCGTAGGACCCAGAGCTCCCCTCCACTCCCTGAGATGGGTTCCTTCACTTACTCCAGGTGAGCCCTGTGCACTAGGAGGAAAACAACTGCTTAAAGCAAGTACATGCCAGTAATTAGCCTCGGCAGTTGTGGTTGTTGGTTGCTGTGGAGTCAGCTCTGACTCATGGCAACCCGATGTGCCACAGAACCAAGTTGGCCCGTCTTGCACCATCTTCATGATTGTTGGCATGCTTGAGTCCATTGTTGCAGCCACTGTGTATTTTGAATGTCTTCCAACCTAGGGCGCTCATCCTCCAGCGCTATACCAGACAATATTCTGTTGTGATCCATGGGACTTTCATTGGCTAATTTTTGGAAGTAGATCACCAGATCTTTCTTCCTAGCTTTCACAGTAGAAGGATACATAAAGCCCCAGTGCCTATAGTGTACCAGTGAAAGTAAATTCTGTGTTGAGGGAGGAGAGAATAAGGACAAACTCAGGCAGGATCTGAGCAATTTTTAGGGTTTGTTCATTCATTTATTCACTCATTCTTCTTTCATTCAGCAAATATATACTGAGTGCTTCTTGTGCACCAGTCACTGTGCTTGGGCTAGGGATACAGGATGAACAGGATAGACAGCTTATCCAGTTCAGAGTAAGTTACCAGATGCGAGCTTCCTAGTGGCCAAAGCAATAAGGGAAATGTGCAGTTACAAGCTCCACCCTAGCCACAGGATGGAAATGTATTGGTTACTCTGCAGAAATCTAGGGTTGCCTGGCACTTCCATATTCACTGGGATTTGCTGTTGATCTGATAGGGACAACTTGGACTGTGTCTGCCTCACAGGTAAAGATACAGAGAAGAGGATAACTTCAAAGATAAACTACAAACACCTACCAGAGACTCCTTTTTCATGCCTTCTGTTGCACTTGCCTTTCTTCAGGCCTTTGCCCATGTTATTCCCCCAACCTTTTCAGCCATCTCTCCACCCACACCTTGAGGGTGAGGTGGTGATACCTCCCCAGGATGGGGTGGTGTAGCAAATGTCTGTCCACTCTCTGACCACCACTGTTGTCCTCTTAGACTGCCTGGAATTGCTGCTCCCGCCACCGACACCGCCCCCCATGGCCTACATACCAGGTGGGGGTGCCCCAGCAGCGGGGGTGGCCCCTGTGGGCACCCAGTATTGCGTGTGCAAGGTGGAACTGTCAGTGAGTGGCCAGAACCTGCTGGACCGGGATGTCACCTCCAAGTCTGACCCCTTCTGTGTCCTCTTTACGGAGAATGATGGCAGGTGGATGGAGGTGAGTTTGTGTGCGTCTGTTGAGGGTAGAACTGGCTAGCTTGCTGGGGAGGGGCTCCCACTGGATCCAGGGGCCTCTGGGTCAGGCAGGGGTGGGTTTTACCAGCCCCTCGAAGTAGTTGGAGTGTGGGCCAGCGGCAGAAGTTTAGAAAATGGTTACTGTAAAAATTAAATTTTTAAAATATTACTTTAAAATAATTGTTTTTGTTTAAATTATTGTAACAGAGTCCCTGGGTGGAGCAATGGTTAAGAGCTCAACTACTAACCGAAAGGTTGGTGGTTCAAACCTACCCAGAGGCACCTTGGAAGAAAGGCCTGGTTACCTACTTCTGAAAAATCAGCCACTGAAAACCCTGTGGAGCACAGTTCTGGTCTGACACACATGGGGTTTCCACGAGTTGGAATTGACTCGATGGCAACTGGGTTTTTAAATTATTATAATAATTGATAGATTTAGAATTATGTAATTTTATATTTATTGTTTTATATATCATTTTAAATTATCATAATATATCATTAAAACTTTATACTTTCACCAAGTGCTTGCTTCCACTTTTTAAATAACTTTTGCTTCTTATTCCTAAATGAACACACAGTCAGAGGGGAGCACATAGAGAAACAGGGAGGATAGGCTTTGGTCCTAGAGCTGGTCCAAGACTCAACTCTGCTCCTCCCTGCCATGTGGCCTCAGGCACACACAGCTGTCCCTCTTTGAGCCTCTCTCCTCATCTGTGAAATGGGGACTGCTTACCTCAAAGGGCCTCCAGAGTGGGGACATTGATGGTGCCACAGCCAATGTCTTCTGAGTCCAGCTGGGCTGGGAGACTCTGGCCGGAAGGTTGGGGAGAGACGCAGCTTGAGGAAGGATATTGAGAAACCCAAACTGTTAACATTTTCACATTTTAAAAATTGCTTTGCTTCCGACTCCAGAAGGACTCTATATTCACTGTAGTAAATTTAGAAAATCCAGATAAACCTAAAGACGAAAATCAGCGTGAATGGGAACCCGCCTGTCAGGGAGAACCGCCGCTGACAGTTTGGTAGCCAGCCTCGCAGACAGTCGCGTGTCTGTATTCGCCAACATAGGTGTCTATTTTCAGTAGCTATTTAGTGGACCCAGGTGCGGCCCCACGGTACTACCGTGGTTTACAGTTTCTACAAATGTTGGTTCCTTCTTGTAATGCTGAGGGAACAAGGTTGGGATTGTAGACTCATTTCACAGAGGTGAAGTTGGAGCCCAGAGATGGCAAGGGCCTACCTTTGTACCCCAGTATATCAGCACTGCAGCCTGATATGGGAGGTGCGACATAGAGTCAGCCAAGGACTTCCAAGAGGAGCCCCAGACCTGTGAACAGCATGTCTGGGGGACCCCGGGCCTCTCTGCCAGGCCTTCGGATCTCCTGCCTGCTCCTCAGGGAGTGACATCCTCCCCCATTGCATCCTCACATACTCATGGCCCTCGCCTACCCCACAGTACCCTCCCTGACAATCTCTGCTCCCACCCAGCCACCCTGGCTAAAAATAGCCCAGGGCCAAGACCTCTTCCGTGCTTGCCGCTCAAGCCCTTGGAAATGGACTGGGTGGGAGGAAAACATCATCACAGCCCAGACCCCAAAATAGACCGTGTCCGGGACTCCGCAGTTTAGGGCCTTGGCATGGAGAGGCCAGGAGGCGGGTTCCTGTCCCAGCCCCATGGCTGACTCACAATAGTAGAAGGCCCTGTTCCTCACCAAGGCCTCGGCCCTACAGGTGGTGGGGCTGCTGGGCTGCACAATTCTCGGCTTTGACATTCAGGATTCTATAAAAGGTATACTATCTGCTCCCAGGGGTTGTGGGGAGCCCCTGACCCCATCTTCCCCCAGGCATCCCCATTCCTTCTGTTTCTTCTCTCAGCTTCCATGTAAAATTGGCTTCGAAAAAAGGCCTGCTACTCAAAAAGTATGAAAACCACAGATAGTCAAATCTCTTTATTTTATAGAAGTGGAGACTGAGACCCACTTGGGGAAAGGGACTTGCCTTCTGTCACTTACCCAGGCAGGGACAGAGACACGCTCTTACCCCAGCACCTGGTATGGAGCCAAGGCTTAAAGGTTAAGACTGTGGATCTGGAGTCAGACCTGGATTCAAATCTTGACACTGACGTACTAGCTGTTTGACCTTGGGGAAGTCACTTAACCTCTCTGTGCTTCAGTGTCCTCTTCTGTGACCTGGGAATGATGATCATGTCAGCCTCACGGTAACCGGTCATGAGTGCCTGGCACAGAGTAGGTGTTCAGAGAGTGAGCAGAATGATTTCTGCTAGCCCAAAAGGGGTTGAACCAGCTGCCTAACTCTGACTCCCATTTCCGTGCCCTTCTGCCAGTACGACAGGACAGAAACGGCAGTCAACAACCTCAACCCCGCGTTCTCCAAGAAGTTCGTCCTCGACTACCACTTTGAGGAGGTGCAGAAGCTCAAGTTTGCCCTATTTGACCAGGACAAGTCCAGCATGCAGCTGGATGAGCATGACTTCCTGGGCCAGTTCTCCTGCAGCCTGGGCACGGTGAGCGTGAAGGACACCCCCTGGCAGGCTGGGGTGGGGTGGGGCAGTCCCCCAGGCAGCCCCTTGGAGAGCCTCTCCCTCCACAGCCTGCTTTCCCTGGCAGGCTCCCGAGGGGGCATCACAAATGCAGATGCCCTCGGGGCCAGCAGATGCAAGACGGAGGTGGTGGCCAAGCTGAAGAGCCCCCATCTGAAGGGGCAGCCGAACACAGTGCCAGGCACTTGTTGCCACAAAGGAAGGGGGGTCCAGTGTGGCCAGGGCTTCTCACTGTTAGAAGTAATCAAGTGTAGTCTTGACTTCCTCGCTTTGGGGACATCAGACCAGCAACCCATGTTAGCCCCACTTTGTGGCTGACTCACAGTATGGCCTTGGGCAACTGTCCCTCTCTAGCCACACTTCCCCACCCAGCTCCACTCGAGGTGAGCTCATGGAGGTTGGGAGGGGCAGGGCTAGGAGCCCCTGACACAAGCTCCAATCATCCCCTATGGCTCTGTGCCCTTGGGCAAGCCCCACCTCCTTATGGGGTCTCAGTTTCCCCAAATTTCATTTGGGGATAACGATGACTGCCCTGCCCAGCCTACAGGGGTAGTGGGGGAGTAAAATAGAAAATGTTCCTAGAGGTCCTAGTGGAGATGGAAATGGCCTGCGCCTGCTAGGAGACAATGTTAAATGAAGAGGGTGAGGGCTGAACGGTGGACATAGTGCCCACCTTTTGTGTAAGAGCAGGATGTGTCCACCAAGGTCCCCACTGTGTCTCCATGGCTCCCCCAAATGAGAACTGAGGAGAGGGCTTAAGGAAGGGCAGGGGCACGGGAACCGGATGCGGAAGACCAACCTAGGGACTGGCCCACCACTTCTGGGCCTGCAGGGCGTGGCAGGGTGTGGGAGTGGTGTTGCCAGGGCCTGTGAGGGCCAAGGCTGAGGAGGGCCGCCCCCAGACCATAGCTGAGGCCCAGGATGGAGCAACATGGTTCCAGCTAAACCTCTGCCGCAGTGTCTCCCTCCTCTCACTCTCCCTTCTCCCGCTGATGCCCCCACTGGCTGTACCCCCAGAAGCCAAAGGGCAGGAGAGCCAGCTGCCGCAGTCCACAGGGCCCACCTCCAGGACACAGAGTAGGTGGAGAAGGGCAGAGAGTGCGTCTGGGGAGAATAACCGGTCCAGAGGAGCAGGAATAGATCACACTGGTGTATGTTCACATCTGCATGTTGTTGTGTGCCGTTGAGTAGATTCCAACTGAAAGTGACCCCATGTGACAGAGTCGAACAGCCCCATAGGGATTTCCAGGCTGTAGTCTTTACAGGAGCAGATTGCCAGGCCTTCTCTAGAGGAGCTGCTGGTAGTTTTGAACCGCCAACCTTTTGGTTAGCAGCCGAGGGCTTAACGGTAGTGCCACCAGGGCTTCTAAACACTGGCATTTTTCACAAGAAGCCAAGAACCGTGCTGGTCCAAGAAGGGGGTGGGAATAGGGTGGACGGAGACAAGTGTGTGACTTTTCAGTGTATTCCACTGTTTCTTTCTATATTGTTGCGCTCGTTGAACCCTTTGAGTGTGTTACCTGTTCAAAACAATGAAAATACGTAGAAGTTTGGGTTTGATCCTCTCAGACAGGGGTCAGGCTCTGAGGAGGGTGGGTCTGTGGATGGGCTGGGGGGTGCAGGGTGGGGCTGAAATTCCTGCATTTGTCTCCAGAATGTGAACCAAGGGCTTTTTCCTGGGGTTGAGCCAGGTCAGAGGGAGTCGGGCTGCCTGGATTCCATCCCAGCTGTGGGACCTTGGACGAGTGTCTTAACCTCTCTGGGCCCCAGTCTCCTGAGCTGCATGGTGTGGCTGGTCGTGGTTGCTATCTGCCTCCCTGGCTGGCGATGGCTTATTGCCTGGCACGGGCAACTGCCGTGAGTGGTACCTGTTTCGGGATTTTCCTCCTGGGCCTCTCTACCCCACCCCAGCCACCACTGAGCCCCTTTCTCCCCACTCTCTCCTTGCAGATCGTCTCCAGCAAGAAGATGACTCGGCCTCTGCTGCTGCTGAATGACAAGCCTGCAGGGAAGGGCTTGATTACGGTACCAGCCCCCTCCCGGCTCTCCACATTCCCCTGTGCCTCCACCGCCACCCCCCCATCAATGGGCCGCTTCCCTGGCAGATAATCACCAGCTTTGTTTGAAGTAAAAAGGCCCAACTTACAACTTAGCAACAGGTTTCTTAGCAACGGGCTCTGGGCTTCACAAGTGATGCATTCGCATGGCCGCCAAGCTGGTGGGGGTGCTGCCAGAAGGCCCCAAAGGAGCTCCCCGGGCAGGGGCGGTCCTACTCTTCCTGGGGCCTCCAGAGCCCTCTCAGCACCCCTCCCTGATGCGCTGGCTCCCGCCTGCCCTCCCTTGGGATCTTTCAGAAGCGCCTTGCCTATTGGAGCTCTGCTTGGGGCTGCAACGCACGATTCCTGCGATGGGCAGGCCCTTTGCGTGCATGAGTTCCTCGTTCCTCACAGACTCCATAATGCAGGGCAACCGCGTTTTACAGAGAAGGGAACAGAGGCTCAGGGAGTGAGTTCCCTGGGGTGGTTCAACTAGCAAGATTCTATCGGGGGTTGTCCAGCTGGCTTCAGAGCCTGTGTGATCCAGGGGAGCTAGCCATGATGGAGGGAGGAGGAGCATACCTATATGTGCTCACAGGTTGTTACTCCACTGCTCTGGAACCTCCCAGGGCTCCACGTTGCTGTAGAGCCCTGCATTCAAGGCTGTGAGGGATCCATCAGTCCCCACCTTGCTTTCCTGCTTTTGTCATGTTTGTGTCCTGGGTTCAGGGCAATCTGACTTCTTAGCATACACTGAACGTACTCTCGGCTTTTATCCATTCTGTTCTTGGCACCGCCGATGTCTTCTCCCAACCACCCCCCCACCTCTTATATTCCACCCCTCCACATCGAAATGCCTTCACCAGCAGCTCCCCTTCACCAGGAAGCCAACCCACATGGGCCACATCATTCCCCTGAGCATTTCCAGCAGTTCCAGTCTAGCCCCAGTTCCCTCCACTGGGAACCACCAGTCACTGTGCAGTTGACTTTGACTCATGGCGACCCCATGATGCATGTCAGAGTAGAACTGCGCTCCATAGGGTTTCTTCAGTGGCTGATTTTTTTCAGAAGTCCCTGGGTAGAGCAAATGGTTAACATGTTCAAACGCTAACCAAAAGGTTAGAGTTTGAGTCCACCCAGAGGTCCCTCGGAAGAAAGCCTGGTGATCTACTTCCGGAAAATCAGCTGTTGAAAACCCTAGGGATCACAGTTCTACTCTGACACACAGGGGGTTGTCACTGTGAGTTGGAATAGACTCGACATCAGCTGGTTCCTCTGTGAAATGGGGGTAATAATAAAACCTACCCTGCAGGGTTGTTGAGCAAGTCCCGGCTAGAGGAGAGGAAGGGGAGAAGCATCCAGGCTGCCCTCTGTCCCTGATTCTGGAGGGCCAAATAAACATGAGCTACATGAGGCCATCCTGGAAGTGTGGGAGGAGAGGACCCTGGCCAAGAGAGGGCCCAGTCCACTTGTATTGCTGTTGATCGGGGAGCTTTCCCTGTCCCTCAGTGGAAAGGAGGAGAGAAGGAGGCCCAAAGAGGGCGGGTGGCAGCCTGGAGGTCACCCAGCGGGTCCATCACTGGCTGGGGCAGGGCCAGAAGGCCAAGGCTGACAAGGAGGACTGGTGTGAGTTCAGGTGAGTCCTGCCCCTGCCCTGGGCCTCAGTTTCCCTAGCTGCACAGTGACATTGCTGGGATACTGACACCTTAGTGTTCTGAGGTGGCTGTGCTCTCTGAGTCCGCATTGGAGTTGTGAGGGGGCCTTTCAGGCCTCTCCCCAAGGCTCAAGACCACCCCCATATCTGGTCCCTGCCTCATCTCCACCCATCATCCCAGGGCCCTGCTTCTTAAGCCACATGGGGTCACCTCCTGATTCCTCGTATCCAGAAGGGCTGTCGTTGTTGTTAGGTGGTGTTGAGTCAGTTCCAACTCATAGCGACCCGATGTAGAACAGAACAAAACGCTGCCCTGTCCTGCACCATCCTCACAGTCATTGTTTATGCTTGAGCCCACTGCTGCAGCCACCATGTCAATCCATCTCATCGAGAATCTTCCTCTTTTTCGCTGACCCTGTATCTTACCAAGCATTATGTCCTTCTCCAGGGACTGGTCCCTCCTGATAACATGTCCAAAGTATGTGAGACAAAGTCTCACCATCCTTGCTTCTAAGGAGCATTCTGGCTGTACTTCTTCCAAGACAGATTTGTTCGTTCTTCTGGCAGTCCATGGTATACTTAATATTCTTCACCAACACCATAGTTCAAAGGCATCAGTACTTTTTATTCCTTATTCATAGTCCAGCTTTCACATGCTTATGAGGTGATTGAAAATACCATGGCTTGGGGCAAGTGCACCTTAGTCCTCAAAGTGACATCTTTGCTTTTTAACACTTTAACTAGGTCTTTGGCAGTAGATTTGCCTAATGCAATACATTATTTGATTTCTTGACTGCTGCTTCCATGGGCATTGATTGTAGATGCAAGTAAAATGAAATCCTTGACAACTTCAATATTTTCTTCATTTATCATGATGTTGCTTATTGGTCCAGTTGTGAGGATTTTTGTTTTATGTTGAGGTGTAATCCATACTGAAGGCTGTGGTCTTTGATCTTCATCAGTAGGTGCTTTAAGTCCTCTTCACCTTCAGCAGGCAAGGTTATGTCATCTGCATATCCAGAAGGGTATTACCCCAGTTTTCCAGAACATGGAGACTGAGGTTTCAGAAAGACAAGAGACTTGTCCAAAGGTCACATGCCCTGCCCCTTCCCACCCTTTTCCCTCATAGCCCTGGAGAATTGACTCTAGGGCTACTCTTTGTCCACCTGCCTGGGTGGGAGAGGGGAGAGTCTTAGGAACAGGTCCCAACTGCTCACGGTCCTCTGACCTTTACAGATTGCTGCCCAGGAGCTGTCAGACAACCGGGTCATCACACTGAGTCTGGCGGGCAGGAAGCTGGACAAGAAGGTGAAGCGGGTGGAGGAGAGGGTTCTCTATCAGTAGGCAGTACTCTCCCTGCCCCAGGATTGTGTGGCCTCACCCTGGGGCCTCCAACCCCCACCTCCATCAACCCCCAGAGACAGGCCCACAGCACAAGGCCCCGTTGGCCACCCCAAACAAGTACCACCTCACCAGTGAGGGAGTAAGCTTCCCATCACTTAGAGGTATTCAAAACAGATTGGGGCCCCCCATCTCACTTAGAGCAAATGCTTGGGCCCCTACAAGGCCTCCTGATGTGTCTTCATCCCCCTGAGGTCCCCTCCTTCACTCTGCCTCAGCTGAATCAACCTCCTCATTGTCCCTGGATTACACCAGGCACTCCCCTGCCCCAGGACCTTTGTACTTGCTGTTCCCTCTGCCTGGGACACTCTTTCCCCAGAGTATTCTCATGGCAGGCCCCTCATCTCCATCAAGCCTTTCCTTGTACGTCACCTCCTCAGCGAGGCCTTTCCTGAAATTGCAGTGGTCCCAGGTTTCCCATCCTCTCCTGCTTTATTTTTCTCCTTACCGTGTGTTACTTTCTTATTTGCTTATTTGTTTTGTTTTCTGTCTCTCCCACTTGAATGTAACCTCCTCAAAGTGACCCTTTTTAAAGCTTAAATCCATGGATTTTTAAAGGCCATCACATCCTTTCTGTAATGTGCTGGGGATAGCTTCAGTTTTTCAGATTCCCATTAAAATCCTATCCTGCTGAGGGCCTCACCTGCTTTGGGAACTATCCCCACTCCTGAAGTTCAGTCCCATCTAAGATGCTGGGGTTCTAACTCCTGCAGGTTCTGGGGCTCTCAGGGTTTCTGAAAACAAGCTTTGGTAACCTCAGGATGGGGGGATTTCTCTTGGGGGAGCTGCTTGGCCCCAGGGGGCTGCAGCTGCCTTGCTGAGCCTTATGGAGGCTGAGGGGAGAGGGGGCAGGCTGGTTCTGCCTACAGCTCCCCCGCCGACACACCCCTAAACCCCACCTGAATCCAGTAGGCTTGCTGGTTCCCTCACCTTCATCCCTTGTCTCCCTCAGGACCTCTTTGGGAAATCGGACCCATTTCTTGAGTTTTATAAGCCAGGAAATGATGGCAAGTGGATGCTGGTCCACAGGACTGAGGTGGGTGCGTGGGGCCCAGGGGTCTCTGAGGCAGGGGATCTGCAGGCCGGCCACCCCCAGTGGCTGAGGACGGGGCCATGCAGTCCCAGCCATGCAGCATGCAGGAAACCCCACGATGGTGCCAGGGCTTGTTTCCTCCCCACACAGGGAGGCTCACTTGCATCCCCAGAAGCATGGCTGTGGGTCTCTCCGTCTTGCCACCCCTTGTCCCCATTGGGCTGGTCCACTGCCCTGGGCCTGCACCTACCACTGCCTATCACTGTCCTTCAGGTGATCAAGTACACGCTGGACCCTGTGTGGAAACCCTTCGCTGTGCCATTGGTGTCCCTGTGTGATGGGGACATGGAGAAGCCCATCCAGGTGAGGGGGTCTGGGAGCCCTGCTCCTACCATGCCAGTTCCGGCCCCCCAGTCTACCTAAGACTTCCTGGGGTGCCTGTCAATGCTCTTTCTCAGTAACATTCAGGGTGACATGGCAAGAGAGGCCACCTGGGGGGCAGGAGACCTGGGTCCTCGCCCCGGGTCTGCCTGGATCTCTGAGTGACCTGGGTAGGCCCCCTGCTACTGAACCCTCCTCTCTAAAATGGGAACAGGATGCCTTCTCTGCTCTTCCCAGAGGGCTGCAGTGCTGCTAGCTAGGATAATGAATGTGGAACACCCTGAAAACGACACAGCTGTTGTTGCTGTGATAAGGACAATGATTACTAGTCTCTAAAAGCCCTCAGTCCTCAGGGGCCATGTCTGAGAGGAGATGGGGACAGGAAGGCAGCTAGGTCAAGGCGGGGATCCCCAGGCAGGGTACCAAGTCATCTGGGTTCTAGTCCTGCATCTGCTGCTGCTGCTGCTGTGAGACATTGGGCAAGTGCTTCCCTCTCAGAGCCTCAGTTTACCCATCAGTAGGATGGGTACAATAACATCTACCTTCCTCCTAGGAATGTTGTGGCAGTTAAGAGAATGTAAAGCTGGGATTTTTGTGCCCATCTCAAAAAAAAACAGTGTAGAGAGGGCTGCAGGCCCTGGCCCACAAGTCTAGGTGAGTCATAACCTGAGACAGATGAGGGGCTGAGTGGGAGGTGTGTGAGGAGCCAGCTTCCTGCGCCAAAGGGGGTAGGCTTCGTTACTGGGGTGGGTAGACTTTCTTCTTTTCCCGGTGATCACAGAAAGCTTCCTGCAGGAGGCATTTCAGAAGCCTGCTGGGGTCATCCCAGGCCACTGGGCAGGCACTGAGGGGAGACACAGGTACCATCCAAAAAGAAGATGTAAGGTTTGCTCAGGGAGCTGAAAGGGGTTGGAAAGCACCTGCTGGGGGGCAGCTCTGGGGTGACCTTGCTGGACCTGTCCCCAGGTCATGTGCTACGACTATGACAACGATGGGGGCCACGACTTCATTGGCGAGTTCCAGACCTCAGTGTCACAGATGTGCGGGGCTCATGATGGCGTCCCGGTAAGATGGGCGAGTGTGCCATGAGCCCACAACCTCAGCAGGGACAGGGGAGGGGAGATGGGGTTTGACTCAGGCAGATCGGGGCTCAGATCCCAGCTCCAACTCTTCTGGCTGTGCGACCTTGAGCAAGACATTCAATCTCTCTGAGCCTCAGTTTCCACATCTTTCAAATGGGTGCGGAGGATTAGGGTAGGAATTAAATGAGATGGTGCAGGCAAGGTGCCTAGCACAGAGTGAGCACTCAGAAGCTGTTTATTAACTCACCCCCAGACATTGGGCCTTGGGTGACAGTTCTGGGTGCGTGACGTGGACAGAACATGGACAAGTTGTCTGCATGGGCGGATACAGAGCTTTCTACCTTGGGCAGGTGCAGCTTGGTGGAAGCCTGAGGTGTCAGGAACCATTTCTGGGTGTGGATGTCCAGGAAGGCTTCCTGGAGGAGGCATGTTGCGCCCATATCAAAGCCCTGAGGGGATTGTGGGGCTCTGGGGAGGACCTATGCCCATGGAAGCCCCAAGCTGAGCTTGTCTTTCTCCTCCTGCATTGCCCAGCTGGAGTTCGAGTGCATCAACCCCAAGAAGCAGAGGAAGAAGAAGAACTATAAAAATTCGGGCATCATTATCCTGCGTTCCTGCAAGGTATGCTGGCAGTGGGCTGGGCACGGTGTGGGATCTAGGCTTGGGGTCACACACGGAGGCACCATTGCATAGGGACTAGACAGAGCATTGTGTTTGGAGCCAGAGAGGGCTGAGTTCAGATCCTAGCTCTGCCACGTCCTGGCTCTGTGACCATCTGAGCTTCACCTCTCTGGGCCTCAGTCTTCTCTTCTGTAGAATGGGGATGTTAACAAGGTGAAGCATGTGAGGGGTTAGTCTCACATTACATTCCTGTGCGGAGGCTGACGAAGGCGTGAGATGACCTTTCAGGGCCTCTCCATGTTGGAGGGTAACCGCAGGGAGTTGCTGTTCCCATGTGGGCAGCTCACCCATTGTGTGTTCAGCATCAGACAGGAGCACCCATCCTCCCCGGCAGCAACATCACCGAGGGGCTCACGTGACTGCCTTCCATGGGATAGCCAGGGCCACTGAAGCCCACAAAGGCAATGAGTCTTACACCAGCAGCGGCCGGGGCTGAGGTCAGGGGCCGGGCCCCCTGCGTATCAGGTAGCTGAGTGTCTGCTGGAATCGGCAGCAGCCTGGAGCAGGGCAACCAGAGCACTGGCCTCTGGGCCTGGAGGTTTGGGAGGGAGTCCCGGCACTGCTGTCTACCAGCTGGCAGATCCAGGCCCTGGGCCTCCATTTCCTCGGCTGGAGACTGGGCTGTCAGGCTAGTGTTTACATGAGCATTCAGTGAGGTCACAGCCCGAAAGTGCTCCGTAAAAGATGTTGCAGCATCATTATTTAGGGGTCCTCGTTTCTGAGACTTCTATCATTCATATCTCCCTTTCACGATTTTTGGCACCTGCCTTACTTGATATTTTTTGTAATCAGTTACCCTTCTTTTTTTTTACTTAAATACATTTATTTGAAAGGAAACTTTAGAACTCTACTAAAATTAGAAGGCCAGTATCCTTTGCTGAAAGGAGGCAGAGACCACCAAAACAAATACAATGTTTTAGCAGTTTTATTAATGATAATAATTATTAAATTTGTATTTATAGTAAGAAATATAAATTTATTAATTTGTATTTTCTCCATTAGAAAGGGAGATTAGTAAGGGTTAGAGAGGTGTTAAGGACCTAATAGCAACAAATTGAGACTCTCTCTGTCATGAAATTGGTAGGTGTAACTGACGCTGGATCCTGGGATCCTGCTTGGAATCTTTGTGTGTGTGTGTGTGTGTGTGTGTGTGTGTGTGTGTGTGTGTGTGTCCCTGTCTGTGTGTCTCCCACCTATTGGGAACCATTGCTCTGAAGACTTTGTTATAGAGAGATTTGGGTTTTGTTGTAATCAGATCAGGCCTTTTTTTTTTTTTTTTGCCTCCTTGACCCCACTGAGGTGTCAGGACACAGAGCAACAGCTTCCTTAAGGTCATTTATGGAGAGTGTGGCCAAGTTGGGGGCCAGCCCCAGAGGCAGGGCAGGGACCCACTGACTCACTTGATTCCTTCCAGATAAACCGGGACTACTCCTTCCTGGACTACATCTTGGGAGGCTGCCAGCTCATGTTTACCGTAAGCTCTCCCCTCACTCCCCTACTCCCACCCCAGAGAGCATCTTCCCTAAGGGATTTGGCCACTACTGAAGCAGGAGGGACTTGGGATAGGTTACAGAAAGGACTTCCCCAGGGCAAGGGTTGTTTCTGGCCCCAGAGGAGAAGGCATAGGTGTTTGTTCCTGCTGGACAGGCCTGAGTCAGGGCTTAGATGCATGTCAGGGCATGGCTGCACAGCCCCAGAGGGTCTGATGGCTACACTCCTTCAAAGTAAAAAAAAGCCCAAGGCCTTCTGTGATCCGGCCTCTGCCTGCCTTATCTGCTACCACCCTCCTCCTTGCTCACTCGGCTCCAGCCACGTGGACTTCCTTACTGTTCCCCAAACACCAAGCTCGGTTCCATCTTAGGGCTCCACATTTGCTGTTCCTTCTTCCTGGAATGCTCTTCCCAGAACCTTCTCAAGGATGCCTCCTTCCCATCCTTCCAGGCCTTGGTGCAGATGTCACCTCCTCAGGGAGGCCTTCCCTGATGCCCCCTCCCATTCCTCTTTGCCACATCTCCCTATTTTAATATCTTCATGGCACTTGCCACTTTCTGAAATCATATTATTTATTTTTTGCTTGTCCCTACTTGTCGCACTGTAGACTGTGAGTGCCATAAAGGCAGGGACTTTATAGGTTTTGTTTCTGCTCTAGCCTCAGCATATTGCACAGTGCCTGGCACACAGTAAGTGCTCAATAAATACTTGCTGAAAAGAATGAATGGTGACTCTGCCTGTGGCCTGCGTGTACACCTCACAGACGTCTATCCTGTTCATCTCGTCTTTTGTTCCTCATACCAAGGGGTACCTCAGGCCCAGAGGGGAGGGACCTGTGGGACCTCCTGGGGGTCCACGCTGTGCCCACCTTCCCACATTGCCTTTCTGCTCTCATCGCCACCGCTTGATCCCAGTGGGGGTTGGGGGGTGTCTACTGGACTATTTGGAGTCAGGAGATTGCTAGAGATTGCAGGAGATTGGCCTCCGTGATTTTAACCCCACTTGTCACCCCTGCCTGCCCCCTCCCCCAACACACACACAGAGGCCAGGCCCCCTCTTTCTCCTGCAGGCATTTCTTCATCCAGCAAATGTATACTGGGCCCCTCCTGTGTGCCAGACTAGGCTGTGCCCTGCAGGGGTCCCCCGAGGACTGACACGCCACCCCTGTCCTCAGGGAGTTGACCCTCCAACAGTAGGCAGACTGGGATGGGCGGCCCCTTCTCTCCTACTCCCCTGGTGACTGTGTTCCGAGGCGGCCATTCCTCCCCCAGGTCCCCTCTTTGACTGTCCCCTGATAGGCACCCACCCTCTCTGCTACCCGTCCGCATCCCTTCAGGGCTGAGAGAGCCAGTAGAGCCTCACCCCTGCCCACCCGGCAGCCCCCAAGTCCCCACTGAGCGCCTGTTCTGTGCTCAGCCCGGGACCAGGCTCCTTGAGGGCATGTGCCTCACCTATGAGGAACACCCAGTCTGACGGGAGACAGACCCTACCCTACAGGCTGTGCTCGGTCCTGGGGCCCCTTGGTGGTCTGAGGGAGGTCAGGGAGATGCCTTGGTGGAGGGTGGTGAGGTATCTGTGGGACAGTGGCGTCTGAATTGGGCCTGGAAGATGGAGAAGAATTAGACAAGAAGAAAGAAGATGGTCTGGTTCTTCAGGTAGAGGGTGGGGAGAGAGGAGAAAAAGGAATCTAGAGATGTCAGCTGGCCTTATATTATATCTGGGCACTGGACTTTATGCTTGGGTAATGGGGAGCCACAGATGGTGTTGGAGTAGGATAATAATATAATCAGAGCAGTTTCTAGCCCCAGTTGGGGCTGGGAGATAAGCCGGTTTCCCATGTCCCATCAGCCTCTCCTATTCCCTGGGACTTGGGTGGGAAGCTGAGGTTCCCTGGCCTCACTGGGTGGCTTTTTTCCCCCACTCTTCAGGTTGGAAGGCGCCCTGGTGGTGCAGTGGTTAAGCACTCGGCTGCTAACCGAAAGGTCAGCAGTTTGAACCCACCAGCTGCTCTGTGGAAGAAAGATGTGGCAGTCTGCTTCGATAAAGATTTCAGCCTTGGAAACCCTATGGGGCAGTTCTTACTCTATCGTATAGGGTTGCTATAAGTCAGAATTGACTCGATGACAACGGGTTTGGTTTTTTTTCCTGCAGGTTGGGATAGACTTCACAGCCTCCAATGGGAACCCCCTTGACCCTTCCTCTTTGCATTATATCAACCCCATGGGTACCAATGAGTACTTGTCAGCCATCTGGGCTGTCGGACAGATCATTCAGGACTACGACAGGTAAGTTTGGATAGGGGCTCTGAAGGTCTGCTAGGGCTGCACCCAACCTGGCAAGATCAGCTTGTCAGTGCTCAAAGGGACCCAGAGATCATCAAATCCAAGCATGGTCAACACATGGCATGAATGCGGTTATTACCCCTTTCTGTACCTGTGGCAGACATTGCTAATTGATTGCTGTGCTCTTACCTACTGAATCAACTTGGATCCTTCTCCACACAGTAACCAAGTAGCCACCAAGCAATGAGGCAGGATGGAAGATGAAACTCATTTACTATTACTGCATTCTCCCCTTCTAAAAAGAGCTGAATCCAAGGCTCAACAGTTGGTCTCTATTCACCTGGAGCAACAGAGAAAGAAGGAGAGTCAAGAATAGGAGGAAGATATGGAATGTGTGGCTAATTGCCTCCATGAACAACTGCCTTCTTTGCCATGAGACAAGAAGAACTGGATGGTGCCCAGCTACCATTAGTGAACATTCTGATCAAAGATTCCATAGAAGAATCCTGATCAAAAGAGGGAAAATGCAGAACAGAATTTCACATTCTCATGGACTCTAGACTTTCCGGTGCCATGGAGAGTGGATGAACTCCTGAAATTATTGCCCTGAGATCATCTTTAAACTTGAAGTCATCTTAAAACTGAAACATAGTTTAGCTTGAATAGTAAAAAAGATCTGCCTTGAGCTTATGCTCTTTTAAGAACTGTCTATGTGGGATCAAACTGAATAGCAATTCAAAAAATTAGACAGGAACCTTAGGGGGCAGTGAGTTTATGCTAATGAGGGAGGAACAACTCAGAGAAGGAAGGTGAGAATGGTTGCACCACTCAGAGAATATAAATCAGTGTCACTAAATTGTACGTGTAGAAATTGTTGAATTGGTGTATATTTTGCTGTCTATATTCTCAACAACAACAACAAACTAAATAAAATTAGGAAAAAAAGAAAAAGAGCTGAGAAAATCGAGGTCTGGGTTAGGGGTGGAGAATTTGTCCAAAGTCACATAAGTCAGGGGCACTGGAACCCCAACCCTCTGATTCCTGGGCTCAGCACATAATGGCCTAACAGTCTCCTTTGAGAACATCTAAGGAACAGTCAGTATGTGTGAACCCTGCTTCCTGGGGATTGTTGGTGGGGTGGTACTGTGGAAAGTCAGTGCAGTGGGGAGAGCAGGTGTGGCCACCAACAGGATGGGCCAAGTGCAAAGTCGAGAGAGCTGGGAGGATCCAGAACTCACTTGAGGGTTGCAGCATCATTGTCACAATTGGTACTTGTAGGGTACTCCAGATCAGTGGGCAGAACACCCAGGAAGCCAGCACATCGGGAGGAAGAAGCAGGTACAGAGACTTGGCAGGGACAAGGGCAGGCTCAGGAATCATTCTTGGGTGTATCTGGTCTCCCAGAGATGGGAAGGCTGAGGGCCAGCCTCTGACTCCCAGGGGACTCAGGGCTTAAGGGGTGACTGTGATCCCCGGTCACATCAAGAGAGGTATGGTGCTCACAGCAGGGGAGGTGGAAGTCTCCATATGGGTGGTTGGGTAGAGGATCCTGGTTTTGCTGCTCCAGAGACTCTCGTATCCAGCTGCCCTCTCAACCCTTGCTTTGAGCCTTCTGCTGGACATTCAGTCTTAGCAAGGCCACAGAGAACTCTGGACACCCTCCAAATCCAGTCCTGCTCCTCTTTCAGATCTCAGTGAGAGGTCCCACCACTCATCCCCAAACCTCCACTTCTTTCCTTCCCTCATATCCCACATCATCTCTCTCAGAAGATCCTTCCAAAAGATACTTGAATCCAACCTCTTGTCCCCACCCCGACTGCTACCACCCTGGTTTGAGCCACCATCACCTGTTACCCAGATTATTCCAGTAGCCTCCTCACTGGTATCCCTGCCTCTACTCTGGCTCACAACAGTTTGTTCTTCACACAGCAGCCAGAGGGGTTCTCAATAAATATACACTGAATGAATGAACAAATGAACTCAGAAGATGAGTAGGAGTTTTCCAAGGGGAACAGAAAGGGGAGGGGCACAACAGAATTGAAGGTATATGTTTGGGGAAGAGCAAGTAGTCCTGAGACCCAATAATGAAAGGCCTTAATGCCAAGGCAGACTTCTCATTTTAGGAGAGTTTTTCCCAGCCTTAAAATGGGAGGTTGAGAGACAGCTAGTACTTTCGATCTTCCATCATGACTCTGTGGTTTAGTGGTTGTCCAGGGCCTGGGTTGAAAAGGATCTAGAAGCCATACCCAAGCCTATTGGGTAAAAGTGCCGTGGTTGATTAGCAATGTCTACCACAGTTGTAGACAGATACTCAGAGATGGGTTTGGGCTCAATAGATCATTCTAATGGAGCTTCTTCCAGAGGTGGTGAGCTTTCTGTCCTTTGAAGTATACAAGGCAGAGGGCCTACCCTTGGGTAAGAGGTTAGGAGAGGTCAGGGTGGGCAGGTGGAGGCCTGGGCAGGTGGAGGCCCCTGTGCAGTTGTCTCATGATGTTTTCTCTTCTCTGATTAGTGATAAGATGTTTCCAGCTCTGGGGTTCGGAGCCCAGTTACCTCCAGACTGGAAGGTAAGTGATGCAGACCCAGTTCCTCTTGGTTGAGATGTTGGGATTTGTGTGTGGCCTCTCTGGGGTCCACTTTGCAAAGATCTTGGTCTGGAGGCCCAGTTGCCCTGCCTTCTCTGTGTTTACCCCAAACCCATACTCCTTTCTCCAGCCTGAACCTCACACAGGCACTGGGGCTATAACAAGGGGTAGGACAGTTCTGACCTTTGCCCCCGGGACCCATGCCAGGTGGGGAAGACATGTAGGGTTGCCAGATTTAACAAATAAAATAAAGGACATCCAGTTAAATTTGAATTTCAGAGAAGCAATGAATCATTTTTTTAGTATAAGTATGTCCCAAATATTGCATGGGACATACTTATACTAAAAGAAGTATCCGTTGTTTATCTGAACTTCAAATTCAGCTGGGCATCCTGTATGTTATCTGGAACCCCTAAAAACAGGCAGTGTCAGCAGTGCTGAGATGGAGGCAGCACGACTTGGGGGAGCCCAGAGGAGGGGCCCCAGCCCAGCTTGGGGCATCAAGGAAGGCTTTCTCGGGGAGGCAAGGAGGTTAAGCAGAGATAGGAAGGGTAAGTAAGAGTTTGTAGAGTGACCAGGGGAGAAAGGAAGTGGGCAGAGAGAACAGCCTGTGCAAAGGCTGAGAGAGAAGGAAGCAGGGTGCATTGGAGGAACTGAAGGAAGGCAGGATGACTGGGCCTCCACTGAAGATGGGCAGGTTGGAGACAGATGCGGCTAGAGCGGTGCGGCCAGCCATGTAGGGCCTCAAAGCACATTAAAGTATAGTGGGGAGCCACTGCAGGGTATATGCCAGGTGTCAAATCAGGTTGGCATTTTTGAAGGCTCACTCTGGCTTCAGAGTGGGGACTGCTCAGGGTGGAGGGTGGGCAGGAGGGAGGCTGGGGAACCCCGAGGAGGCTACCACAGGCTGCAGGTGAGAACTGCCCGTAGCCCAGTTGGAGGAGATGGGATAGAGAGCAGGGGCGATGTCAGGAAGACTTGGGCAGCAGACAAGACTGGCTGGGGGACCAAGTGGATGTGGGCCAAGTAGGTACCCAGATTTCCAGTTGAGCATTGAGGTGTGGGGTAGTGCCACGTACTGAGATGGGGAACAGGGTGGGGGTGGGTTGGGGGGTGGGTTGGGCAGGGGAGATGGTGAGGTGAGAGGTCCAGGTGTACGATGGGTCAGGAGCTCAGGGGAGAGGGATGGAGGCCTGGCTCTCCTTGGCAAGGACTGGGGTGCAGACTCTGGGTGGGCTAGATTGCCAGGGAGATGGGTGGAATGAGAAACACCCACATGTAAGAGCCGGTCAGAGGACGTGTAGACTGAGCCTGAGTGCCCAGAGTAGGGGAGAGAGCAGCAGCGTGGAAGGCCATGGAAGACAAACCAATAAGTAGTATTTATTGAAACTTTCGAATGTTCTGGATATAGCTCCACCTGCTTTATCAGCTTTGCTTACTGTGCACAAAAGCCCACAGAGGTAGGCACCAGGCGAGGAAGCTGAGGGATAGTTCAGTGAGGAGAAGTGGTCAGCAGGATCCAAGCTGCCTGCAGGCTGGGTGAGGTGAGGCCTGAGACGGGACTATTCACTTCACTGACCCCAGTGAGAGTCATTATGGTGGGAGATGAGGTGGAGGGTGGGGAGACACCAAGGAGGGGGTGGGAGGGGAGGAAGTAGAATATGGGGTGTGGACAACCCTTGGCTGTGGGAAAGGGGAGGCGGCAGGTCAGGCATGTCGAAAGATGCTGGGAAGAAGCCAGGAGAGAGGTCAAGGTGAAAAGATGAGGCGTCTTATGGATGAGTAGCGGTCCCTGGGTGGTGCAAACAGCGTGCTCGACTGCTCACCGAAAGGTTGGAGGTTTGAGGTTTGCGTCCATCCAGAGGTGCCTTGGAAGAAAGGCCTGGTCATCGACTTCTGAAGAGTCAGTCATTGAAAACCCTGTGGAGCACAGTTCTACTGTGACACACATGGGGTCACTGTGAGTCACTGTTGACTTTAAGGCAACTTTTTGTATGGATGAGTGGGGGTCCCTGAGGCATGGTTGGGGATAGGCCTGGGGCAGGGGAAGGATGGGCTCCCCCCATAGTCCTGGGACATGAGGAGAGGATGTCGATGAGGTGGTCTTGTGGCCCAGAGGGTGAGTATTGGGTGCCCGCAGCCCCGAGGCCCCAGGGCAGGGGCGGAGAAATTGGAGGAGCCCGCTGGGGCAGGGAGTGAGAAAAGGCAGTGAGGCCCAGCGGCTCCATGAGGCGGGGAAGGTTGTCCCATTTTACAAGTGAAAATGAAAAAAGCCAAGGCTCAGAGCCATGGAGGGACTTGCCCAAGGTCATGCGATAGAGGGGGCCTGGATTCCAACCCAGGCAGGTGGGCTTTAAAGTCTACTCTCAGGGTCTGCTGCCTCCCCAGGAAGAAGCCTGTGGGTACAGACACAGAGGGCTCCTAAGTCTGCATGTCTGTCTGATCAGTGCCCCCTCGTCTGCCTCCCTGTGCCCATACTCTTTCCAGAGTGAGCCTCCTCTCTGGCTTCTCTGGGGAGGGCGGGTTTCACATAGAATGTCAGGGAGTGGCTCTGGGGCCAGGCTGGGAGAGATGGGTGTCCCGGCCATTGGATGGTATGGGGCAGGGTCCTACAGGACCAATGCTGGGGCTCTGGGCAGACACAATGATGCCATTCTCGGGGGCAGGGCGGGCTGGTGAGGCCAGGCCCAGCATGAGCCGGTTGCTAGGACACCGGCCAGCTTTCAAAGAACTCAGGCTAAATGAGATGTTTTCTTGCGCAAAAGCGTCCTTGGAAATGTCACAAGGCAACTCTGGGGAGGCCAGGGCTGGCCAGGCTGGAGCGGTGTCAGGAGGGACACTGGAATGAGCTCGGGAAGGGCACATGCTTGGTCCCGATGCCCCCCTGCCCCAGGAGCCTGCCCTCCATGGCCCCTCACCCTCTCTCACTCCAGTTCCTTGTGCTCCATGCTCCTGAGCCTTGCCTGTGGCCTTCCTGCTACCTGTTGCACCCTTTCCCTGATTTGCCAACTCAGGCTTCTCAGCTGAGAGCTCAGCCTTCTGCGCTTTGTTAACACTTGCCCAAGCAGGGCAGGGGCCGAGGGGCTGAGGGGCCAAGGGCCAGAGAGAGGCCTGCCCAGAACTTTGTGATCAGTTACTGTAAAAATGGCCTGGCAGGGGCGTCTGACCTCCACTAACTTCACAAGGGGGTAGAAGAATCACCATCAGCGTCAACCCAAGGCGGATTCCTATGAGGTGGAGGTCAAACATACCTCCACCCTCCAACCTTTTTACCAGTTCTGACACCAGCCATCCCTCCTGGGGCACTCTCTACTTTTCTGCTGGGTTCGACACTTCATTGCAATGGCCACACAGAACTCACAGACCATACTCACGAT